CTGTTTTTAATTATGCATTTTTAAGTGGATCTTAAGACCAAGTTGTCTTTAAAAAATAGTTTTAAGTTAGAAATTTTACTAGACGTTTGATGGACTGGTCTGCCAGTGTATCCCATCTAGATCACATCTTTCCTCATTGAGCCCCTGATTGTGAGTTTCAAGTTATTGAAAATGAATGGATAGACCTTGAAATCTTGAAATACGTCTAATATCATTTGCTGGGCATTTTTTAAACCCTATTCCATGCACTTACTAGGAAAAATAATTAAAAAAAAAATTTCCAGCCTTTCAGTAGCACTTACTGTCTGAAGGATTTCTCCTAGGCTACTGAAAGAGGAGCACTGTGGTCTCTCCCTTACAACTGCAACTAATACTCTCAGAACTACTTCTTCTACATCTCAGGTTAGTTTAGAAAAATGTACATTTAACCCGTCAAATGGGTCCACACAATGTGAAATCTAAAACTCGTGAAACCTAAGTGAACACAATTCAATGCTCAATGTAATCCCTTCTTTTGTTTTAATTGACAGTTATTATTATGCACATTGAAAACACAACATTAGCTTCTGGTAAATATATTGTCAAACATCCTAATTGCGTTTATTCTAGTTTTACTAAATGTAATTCCTCATGAGTACTTGTTTAATTGCATCAATAGTGGTATGTGTCTCATTTTGTTGTCTGTTTTGATCGTCATCACCTTAATAGTCCTATATATATGCCCATGCTCAATAGTTTATTAAACTCGGGTGAAGGCATTGTTTTGCTGAAAACATTGTTTTTCAAAGTCCTGGTCATGTAAATGAACTATATATATATTTGGGGTACTTTTGAGTATGTGGCGGTTCGTTTTCTATCGATCGAAGCTGAAATCCATCATCTTCCACCTCCATAATCTGTTAATAGTATGCATCTTCTTTCATTTTTAGCCCAGGGTCAAACCAGCAGTTTCTGTACTCCTTTATTGGTTGTGCCAGTCACAAGCCCTGCTGCCTTTTTTGACTTGCAGCAGGGCTGCAGTGTTCCTGAAGACAACGGAACTGCAAAAGAAGACAATCAATAAAACATGACATGTACAGTAGCCAGCGGTATTCAGCAAATGAAAACCTTATTTCATGGGGTTGGGAGTTGGTGGGTGCTGTCTTTCTGTATGTATATATGACATCAAATGAGCCACTGATAAGGTTAGAAAATGGTCGAATAGTCCTGCAGGCTGCAAGGCATTATGGAAGTATACATGGTTTTCTGAAACTCTACCCATTGTAATTTATAATTTGAAATTCTCTCTCTCGGCATAACAAGGTCACTGAGCTTGCTGCAGCTCTGCCATGCTTCTTATAGCCCAGGTTTTATTTCCATGTTTGTTTTAAACCAGTGAATCCTTTGCATCTTCCGCCATTAGCTGCCAGCCTTTCGGCAGAGTTTGTCCTTAGGCACTTGTGAAATATTGATAAAATTCTTATTTTAAACCATCGGTTGTTGAAGTGAAAGCAGTTTGGACTGTGCGCTATACAGCTATAAACCTGCACTGTCAGTTTATCCAGCAAGTACCTCCAACTTAAAAATGGAACTTTTAAAAATGGAAGAGAAACTCTTGAAAGAGTGCTCAGAACAGAGAAGATGTTATTTTTAACCATTATATACTTTTTTGTAATTAAACCCCTGCCATCAACCATTTCTAATATTTCCAGAGGCAGCCTATCTCAAAGCTATGCCCTGGGATTCATTGAGAAACTTAAGCTTTCTCCAATATTAAGAAACCAAGAATATACTATCAGAGAGGTTAAAAACCAGAGTAGGCAATTTAGCCCCTACTAAATTTTGAATGCTAGTAGTTAATGGATCTAAGGGTCTCACCTTGCCATTTTCTGAAGGATCTAAGCATATCAGCATCAACAATATTGACTGGGTAGATTGTTCCAGGGTCCAACAAACCTTTGAATAAAAAGTACCTTAAATGTACTTCCCTGTAGTTTCCATCTGTGTACTCTGATTCATGTTTTGTGGTCAATAGAGCTGACTTTGAGAATTTTGAATACTTGAATCAGGCCCTCTCTTGGTCTTTTCTGTCCAAGACTGAAACGATTCAGCTCTTTCAGGCTGTCAGGATTGGCCATTCCTTTGAGCCCTGGAACAGACCTGGATGCTTTTCTCTGGACTGATTCCAGAGCAGCAATAGCTTTCTTGTAACATGGAGGCCAAATATATACAGTATTCTAAATGAGACCAGAATAGTGCTTTGCACGATTTTAACATGGTTTCCCTTGATAGAAATTCGGTTTTAATTATCATAATATTCCCTTTGCCAGCTTTATTTCTTCTCTGTATTGCTTACAAGGTAACAAGTGTCTCACAGATTGCTCAGTATTTCCATTCTTTTACTTGTAATTTATGTTTTGCTACCTCTTTGTAACTCTCTGCACTCGCCTACATTAAAACCATCTGTCAGTTGTCCGTCCAGTCTTGAACTCTTATCATCTTCAAGCATAACTACTTTACTGACTATACTATAATCTTTGTGCACTTTGTGCTGTTCTTATATTTATTGTTGATATGAATTAGAAGGACTCACAGCACAGATCCAAATAATCAAAATAATAGGAATTTAGAAGATTACAACCCAGAATAACAAGAGTGCTCTGTTCAGTTCTTCACAAAATCGTGTATTATAGTGTATACTAATGGTACAGTTATTCTGTTGTATGTTGACATAATAGTCTGAGTTACTGTACATCAATGCTGGTGCAAAAGCAACTATTAAGGAGAAATCACCTGCAATACTTTGACTGTCTTAAGGCATGGTGCAGAGCTTTGAAACACAATAATTACTTAGGTTTTAGCGTATCTTTGGATTTATCCAGTACTCACATTGAAATGAGGGGGCTGGCTTGTCAGAAATGGTGTTATTTAATTACCAGTTAAGTACTTTGATAATATCTGTGTCCCATGAACAGTTGAACTGAGAGGAAGATTAGAGATTAAGAACTTCTTTCAATCTTTTAAAATTGTAAATAATTTATGCTTTTGATCGGCAGCATTGAAGCTGTTTTCACAATTTTGTCAATTTTTGTAATGATGACTTATGTTAGATATAGACAAGTAAAGAACCCTTTGGTATATTATCCAATATCCAGAACTTTTCAGTTCAGATCTTGAAGATGACCAATTTATTAAACTCAACACAACTGTTCTCTCACTGTATAGCATAATTTTCTATAGTCAGATCTACTTTACTACAGTTTGTAATGGAGCTTACTTAAATAAACTGTTTCAAAACCTGTTATTTGTGCCAATGAGTGGAAATATAAAGGAAATACATTTTGAAGTAACAGATTTATTATTGATTTCTGTGATATTTGGTTTAAACTTACAAAAACAGACATATTCCCATCCACATTCCCTACATGCTGTTACATAGTAATGTTCTTAACTCATATATTTATGAGCACATTCTTATAATGTTCTTAACACACATATTTATATTTATCTCTTTTTATAATGCAGTATACTAAAATGTTGCCTCATGGTCACTGAAATGTTCCACAGCTGGATACTATTTTTTAATATGAAGACATAATGAGAGAGACAGCTGTTCTTATATTTATTTTTTTACTGTGCAAGCAAATAACGACAGTTTTCCCAAACTGTCATCTTTAAGCATCTCTAAATTACCTCTGGTTTTCACAGACAGTTTGTAGAGAAGTGGATACACAGTACAAAAGAGGCGTGTCATTTATTAATAATGCATCATCATATCACTTCAGGTTGTTTTCGACATTGGTGCAAAGATACTGAATGCAGCTGCTGAGGTTTAAGTTTTTTCAAAATTATATTAGGATGCCTGGACGTGAAACTACCCTATACAGAGGAGAATATAATATTCCCATTATTTTCAGTTCAAGCATTCAGATCTCTGGATAGGGTCATTTGCAATGATGCTTAGCAAACCATGAGAGGAATCCATTCCCCTTTGTCACTCACAGGCCCACGTTTGCTGTAAACATGTCTAGACGAAAAGGGAAAACCTTTGGCTCAGTCAGTGGCTTGTCATGAATCAAATGATCCTGCAGGACTCTCTCGTTTACAAGGAGAAGCACTAAGCAAATCCTTCTATTTGATTCCTAATAAGACTTTGACTGCCTTCCAAGCCTAAAAGGTTTCATGATAGGATTAGCACTGTGCAAAGCGTTTTAGATTTCAGAAATGGAAGAAATAGCTTGGGCCTTCTACTATAAAACAATGCATGCATGTGTGCGTGCTGTACATATGAAGAAACTAATATAAAAGGGATGGAATTTCAGTTGGAGGCGTAATAACACATGCTCAAAATGGGTTGGAATTCATTTCGGAACAAGTTTTCAGAAGCTTCTTTTCATTTTTTTTTACTAATTTTCCATCTGTTCCATATTGTTTTTTTTACCTTGTTTAAATAGCTTGGCTGTTTTGTGCATTACGAATATGTTGCACCCTGATCACGTGAAAGGGTAGATTCCTGAAAGAGGAGTGTACCAGTAATCCATCTACTCCATCTAGAAGGGACTTATGGAAAATTGAGTTGGGTTCCCAGCTGTACTAAAACTACTTTTAAATTAGTAACCTTAATGTCATTAGTTTTATGCCATTATCTTAAACATAGTATTAAATAATTTTAGGGTGTAAACTATGTATTATTTTATTTTCCAGTTAGGTTTGTAGAGCATTTGGTTTGAAAAAATACCTTGTCATTCTACGTCTCATAGGTTCAATGAAACACCAAATCACATCATTTAACTATCAAATTACACTGATTAGGCTTGTGCTTTATTTAACAAACCAGGTGTCTTCCCTTTGCATAGTAGTTGTGGAAGCCTTTGTTCTAGTGCACTACAGGAAGAGAGCTATCCACCTCTTTCCCATTCTCTTTGAGTCTGTTCCTCTCTCAAAATGTGTTGATGCTACAAGCATTGCTGGTAAGAGATATAAATTGTTAACATACTGCTTATTTTTCATCTCTTTCTCAGTGTACGTGCCAGAGGAAGATATCAATCTCAGAGAGACTTCTGCGGGGGATGAAGGAGAAAATGACTCTCCGCCTGAAGAGAAGTGCCATGACAAAGCCAGCGCAGAAGAGCCCGAGGAAAAGGAGACCGATAACAAAAGCAGTTACAGCTACCAGAACTCGCCAGTGAGCGCTGCCTCCAATCAGGAAGCCGAGTTAGAATCTCGTCTCAGTGATGCCAGTGACAGGCTGTCCGACTTCAAGAGCATCTCCCCATCAGGAAGCCAGAAGGACGAGGACACCAAGAGTCTGAAACTCAAAGATGAGATGCAAAATAGCTTGGAAAAAATGAGAGCAGCCTATGCCAACTTCCTCTCAGATTCCTACTGGTCAGGAATTGGGCTGGATCTGAAGGTGGGTGCCAACTCTGGCAAAGGGAGCTGTGACAGCACCAATGGCAGCACCAAGAGTGACTTTGACTGGCACCAAGACGCTCTCTCAAAAACCCTGCAACAAACTCTTTCTCCAAAGCCTGCCTCCAAGCCAAACCTTTTCAGCTCTGTCCATTTATACAGGCAAAACAGTAAAACGTGCGGGACGGTTTTCACTGGGGCTAGTCGTTTCCGGTGCAGGGAGTGCAGTGCGGCCTATGACACTCTGGTGGAGCTGACAGTGCACATGAACAAGAGCGGGCACTATCAAGATGACAACCACAACAGACATGGCAATGCCTCCACATCCTGCTCCAAGACAAGGAAAAGGAACCTGCAAGACATGGAAGGGAAGGAAGATGCTCAGAAAGTTCTCAAGTGCATGTTTTGTGGTCACTCTTTTGACTCCCTCCAAGACTTAAGCGTCCACATGATAAAAACTAAGCATTACCAAAAAGTGCCTTTGAAAGAACCCATTCCTGTTATTGCATCCAAAATAGTCCCCCCAGCAAAGAAACGGGCTTATGAAGCCACTAGGCCATGTTCACCTGATTCTACCACAGGGATTTCTGGATATACTGACTCTAGGGCATCAGGCTTTCACAATTCCCACAACCGGTATGGATATCAGAATGGTGCTAGCTATACCTGGCAGTTTGAGACATGCAAATCTCAGATTTTAAAGTGCATGGAATGTGGGAGCTCACATGACACTCTTCAGCAGCTGACCACTCACATGATGGTTACAGGCCACTTTATCAAAGTTACAAGTTCGGCTTCCAAAAAGGGCAAGCAATTAGCCCTTGATCCCCTGGCCGTAGAAAAGATGCAGTCTCTTGCAGAGCCCCCAGTAAATGAGACTCAGTCTGATCCTGAGGGTGCAAAAGCATCACCAAACAGCTTTGAATTGGGAGAGACCGAGATCCAGAAAGAAAAAGGACCAGAGACAACAGGCAACAAGACAGAAGAAAAGGATGGGAAAGATGGCAAACAGGAAACTGGGGAACAAAAATCAGGGGAAGCATCTTTTAAGTACCCTTACCTGCGAGAAGAAGACCTTGAGCAAGAATCTGAAGGAGGAGGTGATATATTGAAGTCTTTGGCCAATACAGTTGCCTCAGCAATCAATAAAGCTCAGACTGGGACACCTAGCTGGAGTGCCTATCCCAGCATTCATGCTGCATACCAGCTTTCTGGAGTGATGAAGAACTCCAACCTTCCAGTCTCTCAGCCAATACAACTGAAGCAGGCATTTAACAACAGGTTGAGGCCAATAGCCCCAAAAGGGAAATTTTATCAGGCCGCCCCAGGTATCGAGTCTTTTGCAGGTCATCTCCATAATGTGGAAATCAAAAAAGAACAGAGCAGCCCATCTGATGATAAAGAGGCCCAAATTGGAACAGCTGACCAGAAAGCCCCTGCTGAGAGTGATGTCCAGAACGAATCTTCTGTTTCTACACAGGCAGATAAGGACAGTGTGAAAGATAGTACTGAAACAATGAAGGGGAACCTCACTCCAGATTTCTCAGAGGGAAACAAGAAATCACCCAGCCCTCCTGCTAGCAATGGAGGTGGCAATGTGTCAGCACTTATCAATGACTCTCCTGAGATGCTTGGCGTAAACCCACTAAGTGCTTTGCAGTCTGTTTTGAACAATCATCTGGGAAAAGCTAATAAGCCCTCTCATCCCCGACCTGAGGCCACACTCACTGCAAGTACTCAAGCCATGTTCTCCAAACTGAGCAGAAGCTTGGAGAAACCTGCCTTGGCACTCGTCCCCCCCAGAGCCAGCAGTCTTAACAGCTCCTTTCTGTTCGAGAGCAATGACCAGCCCATTGACTTGACAAAGTCAAAGAGCAGCAAAACGCAGGCCACCTCCCGGGTTCAATCTTGCACTCCAGTGCCCCAAAAACATGCCCTGTCTGACATTGCTGACATGGTCAAGGTTCTTCCAAAAGCCACGACGCCAAAACCTCCAATGCCTTCAAGGATGCCTTCCATGAAACTTGAAACAGATGTGAGACGCTTTGAGGACGTATCAGCAGAGGTGTACTCAGTACACAAGAGAAAGGGGCGGCAGTCGAACTGGAACCCTCAACACCTCCTCATCCTGCAAGCTCAGTTTGCCTCCAGTCTCTTTCAGACATCCGAAGGCAAGTACCTACTGTCTGATCTGGGTCCTCAGGAACGCATGCATATCTCCAAGTTCACCGGGCTTTCCATGACCACAATTAGCCACTGGCTGGCAAATGTCAAATATCAGCTACGAAAAACCGGAGGGACCAAGTTCCTGAAGAACATGGACACTGGGCATCCCATCTTTTACTGCAATGACTGTGCATCTCAGTTCAGGACACCTTCGGCATTCATCAACCACTTGGAATCCCACCTAGGCTTCCAGATTAAAGATATGAATAAATTTCCAATAGAACAGCAGACAAAGGTCGAGCCTGAACTGCCAAAGGCCATAGGCGTGAAGGCAATCGAAGGGCCGTCCGTGGATGAAGAGGGTGACTCCAAGTTCAAATGTAAACTGTGCAGTCGGACTTTTGCCAGCAACCACGCTGTAAAACTTCACTTAAGTAAAACTCACAGCAAATCCCCTGAAAACCATTCACAGTTTGTTGAGATGGATAAAGAATAACATTGTCAGTAAGTTTAAAAAAAAGCAAAGGTTTCTACTCCTTTTTCTTTACTGTAATTGCTGTTGTTGCTTTGCTTTTCTTCTTCACAAGGTCTGATTTTTCTTATGTTTCAAGTAGCATTACGTAGGATCATCCATTTTGGAAACTTGTATTTTTAATAAAACACAGACACGGATCCACTGGCTGGACTTGCATAAATAAAAAACCTACAAAACTTTGTTGGTTCAGGGACTCAATAGCTGATTTTTAAAAAATTATTTTGCACCCTGTCCAAACGCATCACCAGTAATGAAACATATTACTGCTTGAAACATAATTGCTGATGTTTGCATGCAATAGCATTGGCTACGACTACTATTTATTTGTATGATATGCCAGGTTTTAATTTTATTACTTTTAAGAAAAAAAATGAAATGATTAATGCATTTATTGTAATTTAATTCAGATCACCAGACACCTGCATTTTTACTCAGATGTCCTGATGGGTAGATTGATAAACCTGTTGGCACATTTTGAGTTAACAGAAATGTACAGTATATTGCTCTGTAAAAATATATTGTGTTGCAATGATAGAACATTAAAAAAGCACTTTAATAAATGTTTCATCACCAGTTTAGGCTTAGATGCTGTACATGATCTTACGGTTTTAGACGGGCTGGAAATAATGGCGTCCTTGATAAATGTACATACTGTAGAACGAAAATAGTGTTGAGTTTCATGTTAAAAGAACATACTGAAACAAATGAAACCTGCACTTTTTGTACTGATACAAATAAAGCGTTAACATTTTCTAAGAATTTGCTTTCATTCCAAGACTATTGTTCATTGCAGCAATGAATGCCCTGTTTGCAGATAAAAACCTTTGTGGCACAGAAGTTCTACCAAGAAGTCCAAAGGTTTTTCTTTTCCGCGACTATGCAGCAAGACCTAAAAAAGCACACCTTCATTCAGTCAACTGTTTTATCCTCATTCATATGACGGTTGAGGGGTGTTCGGAAAGATGGCAGTGAGACACCCAGTCCTGTTTTTGAAAACGAAAGGTGACCAAAACGTGTATCTTCACATCTCACATCTCCATTCCAGAAACACAAACACCTGATACCTGCACAGAAAGATCTCAGGTAGCAAGCACAGGGACAGTGATCATTTTCCCCATTTGCTTGAATGGCAGGAAGGATTTAAAATCTGCTGACATGGCCTATGATTGCTCCTGTCAAAAGGGAGCTGAGTAAGAAGCAAGCAGGAATGAACAGACACTTTAGGTACCATACATGTACCTCTGGAATAGACTCCAAGTTACCATAACCCTTGTCTGGATCCAAGTTGCCATAACCCTACACTTGGCGTAAACCATTATCTAAAGAAGCAGTCTTTAGATAATGGATGGATGGTTGGAGTGGGATACATGATAGCATTGGGTAAATTCATAGGACAATTCCTCAAGTCAACTCTTTCCACAAGGACAACCAACTTAATGGAAAAATTAAGAATTGCAATATATAACCATTTTGAAACTGTTTTTAACATGATAAATTAATAAAACCGTGCCTTGCCACATGCAATATTGATCATAGAGCAAGTCAAGGAATTCATCAGCAAACACAACATTAATGAAAAAGTATGCTGAAGAGGCCTCAGATGATAGCTCCCCCCACATCCCCTGCACCCCCAGAGTCCTCGTAACTCATTTAAAATCCATGGAGTTAAATACATGCAAATTAATGGCGTTTTTTTTTTTAAAGAATCAAACCAGGGATATACACACAACATCCAGCTATCAAAGTTAGTTTCTCTGACTACATTTTAGCAATTTTCACCCTAATTAGGTGTTATCATGACAGGATTTGATTCAAAAGAAACAAGGATGCTGCAAACATTTTAACTGGCATGTTCTCTGTGTTTTGGAGCCTCACATTAGCACATTTAATGATCTTGGATGACGGTGCATGTCTGTTTTTAATGGACTGAATGAGAAGAATAAAATCATTTCTAATGTTTTTTTTTTACATTTTATGTTAAATGCTACGTTTTGCCATTTTTTAGATGTCTTCTTAATGGAGTACAGTTGAAATTTGGAATACAATTGAATTGCCTCAAAAGACTTACTTATAGTTATGTATAGTTCCTTCTGGACTAGTAATCAGACAAGCAGATATTTGGAAAATCAAAATATTTAGAGATATATATAGATTCTGTAGCTACATGTGCCTCAAACCATTAGAGGTATTAATGGCAAACAGGAGTTTCACTATTAGCATTTTTTTATCCTTTATCTGCAGATTGCTTGGTTAAGCCTCTTCAATCATGTGGGACTCAGATAACATATTTCAATTTTTTTTAAGGGGGAAAGATGTACTGTCGCAGGATGACAACAACAGTTAAAAACGTATTTCTTTTTTTCGTCAAAGCTATTAAAAAATAATTGCCTTCCAAATTCATAAACATTTAATGCTATTTCATCTTTTTTTTTCATGCAATCAAGTCTTCAATTACCACTACCCATCACATCTCTGTTTTATAACAGGCAACTGACATTTGATGGTAAATGGAGAAAAGCAGACTAGCACCATGGAGATTTGAATATTCTGACACCAACTTGCCCTCTATTGTTGAAAATGAGCAGGCAATCATGATTGTTCATCAGATGGCTCCTAATGCAGTTAAAGTATTCAGCTATAATTTCTCCTTGCATTTATAATTACTGTCATAGACCGCACACCTCGCTGAGCAGATTAAGGCTATAAATTATTTAGGCCTTGGCTTTAGCTAAGGGAACTTGATTTGTCTGGCAAGCCGTTACGTTTTAGGGTATCAACTATTTTAAAGAAAAGAGGCTGCGTGATCTGAGAAACAGCCGAACATTGCAGCAAATTCAGTCCTAGCTATGTTTAATTAAAATAAAAAAGCAATATGCAAAGTACTGATATGTGCTGATAAAAAATAGTGCTTCCTGCTACGCTCTTCAATACGTCTTTAAAGCTTTACTTCTTTAAGAAATCCAAAACTAGATTTGCAATATCATAAATGGTCATTTATTTTTATTACAAACCCAAGCATATATTTTACTTGCAGGACACTAAAATCAAATAAAGTATTTACAAAGAGATGCAGAGATTCAGGCAATGCAGCATTTCTTAGTTTCTTGTCATTCTATTTGGTTGTTGCAAAGAAAGGCTGCTAATGTGGATGGTGTGTGTTTTCAAACACTTTTTGTGCCAGATGTACCCACAGCACTATTAAAAAATAACAGAATTCTTTACATAATGAGCAAGAAGTACAGTAACTGAAGACCATGGGACAAAAATCAGTGTCTGCAGTAAGAACTGCATTAAGGAGTGGAGATCTAACAATAAGACAGCTATGAAGACACCCATCTCCAGTGTAATCCAGAAAAACAAAATACCGTGTTTTATGAAAAATATATTCATGCACATTGCTATAGGTTTGAAACACTGGCACCTGACATTGACCTTCTGCTGAAAAATGAATGGCATGTGGGCTCATTCATATTCAGATCTACAATATAAATTTACTTTCAAAGGATGATTCACATTGCTATTAAAATATTTCAGTATCTGAAGAAAACTTTTTCAGAATAAATTGAAATATTTGACACCCGGTTTTTCTGACTTCCTCACTTGCATTTCTATGGCTTTTTATTTAAACATATCTGCACTTATCCCACAAAGCTCGACGTGCACAATCACTCCATTTAAAAAATAACAAAGAAATAGACTACATAAGAACAGTGAACTTTTCAAGATTTTTCATCCTAGTAAAATGTGGTGTCTTTTTCTTCAAACTCTGTTTATCAACTTGTCAGACCGCTGCTTGAAAATTGTCATTCTTCTGCCTAATTATATTCCAGTCCTATAAACTGTTTTTGAATAGCTAGACACAGATTGAACAAGTAAATGCAAAAATGTAATCGCAGAAATGCAGTTTGGTCAGACTTTGTACTGTGTGTATGAGGTGTAGCATCTTAAAAAAGAACACATTACCATTTCACTCGTATATCCAAGCTATGCAAAATATTAAGAAAACAGACAAAGTTGTGAGATATTTACTGTACTTTGAAGAAGAAACACCCTACATAGGGTTTGTACTGTACCTTAAACGTTGTGACTGAACTTTATAACTGTTTTTGGTAGTATTTAAAATTTGTATGGAGCATCTAGATATACTGTGTTGAAAATAATTATAGAAATGGAAAAGTGAGAATAAATGCAAATTTTGCATTAACAACTTTTATGTAAGATTTAAATATGACCTAATATAGTATTGACATGCTATATAACAAGGAATTGTTTCCATAATTATTGCTAATATGGTGTAAAAACTAGTATTGTCCCAGGGAATACTTACAAAATAAAAGTATTTTAACATTTATCAGATTAAATATGAACAAATCTTATACTGATTCCACACTAACTATTGAAATCAGAAAATCAGAATTACTGGACATGTTTCCAGTGATGTACAGTTATGTCTTATTTAGTCTGACACGATAATGTATTTTTAAAGAAAAGACAGATATATTTGAAAATTGGTAATATAGCTAAAAATAATTCATGCATATTGATAAATCAATCTCTGTAATGAAAATCAAGGGTAAGAAGTTTGCCATAACAAATCTGAAATATTTCAGATGTGCCTGGAGTGCTTAATTTGATTGCTAAAGTAAAGCAAAGAGCATAAGAGAGTATCACTTAAAAGAAACGTGAATGTAAAATCAACATTCAGTATCTCAAAAAGAAAGGGTTCATAGTATAGAAATCAATAAGTGTGAGGAGCAGACTGTTCTTAAAGACCTCTGGTATTTGGTAAAGTGTGCTTAGGAGACCTTGGCACCTTCCAAGAGACTGGAAATTGTTGTGTTGTATGTTGAGCACAAGTTTGCAACAGCAGGTAACCTATTGTCGAAACTAGCCAGTGTGCCATCACTGTTGAAACAGAAAAGCAAACAAGCAATATTTCTTAATCTTCATGTCTTCGAAATACAGACTTGCTC